CTTTCCGCGGTCCCCTAGGACATGATAGGTTCTCGTGGGCCACAACTTGCTTCCCTAAGAGGTTGTCACCACCCTTAGGGGTGTATCACTACCGAGCTACTGACCCACGTGCGAAGACTTTTAAATGCAATTGCAGAGGTAGGTCGGTCGAGGGCGTTTTGCTCGCTTGCTGTAGTATAGGTACGCACGGTTAAAATGCCTATTGAACCCGGACGTCATTCGTTCCTTAGGGCACTGATCTCCTAAGCACGAAGCGGACATCGGTCGACTAGGACGGTCTCAACCAAGCATGAAACCCGTAGTATCCTAGTCCTTTTAGACACCAGTAAAAAAAAATAACACCCGCATATATTTACATCATAAGGAATCGACCGTAGTCAGCAAGAACATATATCCAATTTAAAATGATAACTGAAGGAATTCAAATTATTATTAGATACATCCAATAACAGAATATCAAAATAAAATCCGACCTCCTCTCATCAGACTTGATGAAACAAAATATCATATTGAGCCACCAACTTGAAGTTGGTTTCGACAATAACCTCAATGCAACCAACAAGGTAGTTGGTCTGTCTTAGTTTTGACTTGATGACATGCGATGTCAAAGTTATTGATGTCATCTCACCGTCGACCTAAGATTAGACATGCACACACTCATCTTCATACATTCCCAATCTTTTTGGAGGACATGTTGCTTTGCAGATGATTCTTGATCAGATGCATTGCTTGAAGTGTTTCGTATCTCACCCTTTAGGAAGTGGTCTGGGGTACTCCTCCTCCTCGCCCGAGCACACGGCTTGGATCTCAGAAGTTGGGCCGTCTCCATCGAATCGGCAAAGTACCCCCCCGTAGAACGGTCTACTCTGGGTCGATAACAGGGTCAACTCCTAAAGCAATGACCCCCCACCCCAGATGCTTCCTTGAAAGAAAGAGAGAGCGTCCACCGCAAGTAAATTTTCAGTCGTTTTTATCCTCACTTACCCAAGGTAACTCGGTCGAAAAGAGTTAGAAGAGATAGAGCACGAGAACCATTTGGACAGATAAAGGTCATTCGGGATTAAAAAAAACTACGTTCGTTTGACCTTATCTGCTTTATTTGAATCGAATTCATTTTACGGTGCATACTGAATTAATATTTTTTAAAACAAAAGCAACTTTCTTGACATGCAGGCAGGTGAGAAGTAATTAAAAGACAATTTTTTTCCCTCTTTTCAAATAGGCATAATCAATCTCCTTTGCACGTATCCTTTTACCTACTTCCGCACACAAAAACAACCACAGGTGCAGAAAATCCAGCATTCCATAGTACTCCCGTCAGATCTCACTTTTCACATGCATGACCACACATGCTTTACTCAACCTTTTATTTTGAAGATGCAAAACAAATAGGGTCATGCAAAGTGTGGGTTTATACGGACGTGAAAAAAAATATGACTACCACTTGAACTACGTCCCTAACGGAACGGAGGAAATGGGATTTGAACCCATGATACAATCTTGTTGCATGTTGATTTAGCAAACCAATGCCTTCAGCCACTCAGACATACCTCCCGGGAAAAACGGGAGTTGAACCCGTGACTTCTAGCGTGACAGACCAACACTCAACTGACCTTGAGTGAAGTAGTAAGTGCCTTACTCAAGAAAGCCAAGTAATATATGAAAAAAATCGGTTGCACAACTCCATGAGTTGCGGTCTTCCGACCAAAAGCGGTCCATGCCCTTTCTTGAGATGCACAACTCCACGAGTCGGGCAACCAAAAGAACACAAGTGAGATAGTCCTCTAGGAGGGTGCTCTCACCTATAGTTCCCATGCGGTCTCAACACAGTCCCAATGGCACCTTGTGCGATCATAATAGCCAGACCAACATGTCTGTCCCGATCTCAAAATCAGTCACATCTGGTCCCACAATGGCTAGGCGATCCCGCATTACTGCCGCACCGCCGAATGGTTCTTGGCAAAAATAAAAATTTCACACCGTGGATAAAAAAAAACGAAAAGCGGTCCTCCGGTGCCAAATCCCGCAAGTGTCAGCACCTCAACAACCACACCACCAATGTCGCGTCGCCATAATGTTACCACCGCCGTCCAGAAACACTGCCGTAAAAAAAAACACTCAGCCGCGCACCTCAAAAAATAAATGAGGGACAAACGCTCGCCGCGTCGTCAAAACAGGTACTAAAATTGTCCACCAGCACCGCCACCAGCTCACACACCACAGGGGAAGGACCCACTGTGCCACAAATTTTTGGCAGCAGTACCCCTAAAAAACAGTAGCGTCGACACACCCCAAATTTTGCAGCATGTCCCTACTGAAAATGTCGCCATTGCAGTGCTGCCAATCGAACAACACCTTCCCCTTGAAATAAACCAGTGTCGTCGAGTCAGCACTCCGATGGCACAATCCCACTGAAAAAACATAGCGTCGATGTGACGATACTTCGCGGACACAACGCCACTAAAACGGAGATCCGGCCCGCCACATTGTCGTAGACTGGCTCAGGGCTCTGGCTCCACCTAGAGCAACATCGCCTCCTCTCAACTCTCCAACTCCTCCAGCTTGTTGCACAACTTGCAAACCTCCTCCAACTTGTTTTTCCAAACCCTCTTCCAACAAACCTCCAACACTCCTCCAGCTGCCTCATTGTTACCTCAAAGCTCCTTTAAGGATCATTGTATACCCCTGACCTCATGCTAGGCCACCGCTTCAGTGTGCCTCTACCTGAGCTAGGCCCTCTTGATATAATTATAGAGGAGAGAAACCTGTGTTGCTTTAGTTATGGGTTCATGTCTTTCTTTCTTCGTTTCAACTCTTGCTATCGACTCCGGAAATCGCCTTCATGATTGCCACTTGTCACATTTTGCTTACTTCCTCTGCGGAAATCCTGGAGCTCAAGTTGTTGTAGCTTCGTATTGACAGCCATAACTTTCATTTTTTTCATATATGGTTGACCTCATGCATATAAACATAGAGCTCTTTGTAGGCCTATGCATACCATGGTGATGGCTTCAAGCATCCGCACCAGGCTTTGGAACAATGATCCAAAGTAACCTCTCTTTCAAATTTTAGGCTAGCTCAGTCCCTATGGAGCTGGGCCTTCAGTTCATCCTTACATGACCTCAATTCAAGGAAGAATGACCACGGCTATGCTCCCCGTATATATATAAAAAATCAACAGCCAATGACTACTGCTAAGTTTCCTGGCAGCCATTGGCTGCCTTTTCCTTGCCTACAGTTTTCCCCCGAACAAAACGCACGTATGTACTATTCAACTTTCCCTGGAAAACTGGAATTCTCAGAGTTGGCCCATGATTTCCAAATAGTACGCACGTTCAAATAGTACGCACGTATGCTCTATTCGAATAGTACACACGTATGTTCTATTCAAACAAACGGGCGTTCTGTTCGAATAAAGCACACGGATGTTCTATTCGAATCCTACAATCAGGTGTTTCGCTCAGGAGTCAGGAGTGAGTCCGGTTTTCTGTCAGCGACATACATTGACTTGCGGGGAGTTTGAATGGTCTGAGGCAGCTTGTTTAAAATCAACTAAGTCAATCATTTACACAGTTTAGGCAAGTAAGGGAGAGAGAAGGGTGGGGCGAGGGGGAAGCAGATCTGAACCTTTGGGACGACTTTCAATGCAATGTTTAATGTGCAATGCATCATTTCTTATTTTATTTTCCCCCTCAAAGTTCAAATTTGATTACTTGAAAACAAGTTAGAGGTCGGCGTCCTCTACATCACATTCCGGAACAACCTTTTTTTTTTTTGCATTTCAATTGCTCCAATCTATTTGTGGGGAGCTGCACGTGCTGGAAACCGGGTTCAACGTCCCATGGCAAACATCATTCCAGACAGTTCAAAAGTACAACTTTCAGGCCTCTTCACCCTATCCAGGGCGCGAGCTGAGACAAGCAAAACTAAACAATTTTACTGGAAGCATCATCCAACTTAGCTTACATGCTGAAGAGCCTGCAGGTCTTTCTCTACAGACCCAAGCAGCTCTCAGGGAGTTGTAACATTTTTTTATTTTTTTTTGGGACAAAAGCTTCAATCTATTCGTGTGGAGCATCACGTGCTAAGAACCGGGCTCAGCGTCCCACTGAAATGCTTACAGGCTGAAGAGCCTGCATGTCTTTCTCTACAGACCCAAGCAGCTCTCAGACTGCTGTAACTTTTTTTTTTTTTGGGGGGGGGGACGACAAAAGCTCCAATCTATTCGTGTGGAGCATCACATGCTGATAACCGGGCTCAACGTCCCATTGAAATGCTTACAGGCTGAAGAGCATGCAGGTCTTTCTCTACAGACCCAAGTAGCCAAGCAGCTCTCAGGCTGCTGTAACTTTTTTTCTTTTTTTTTTTGGGACGAAAGTTTCAATCTATTCGTGTGGAGCATCACGTGTTGAGAACCGGGCTCAGCATCCCATTGAAATGCTTACAGGATGAAGAACCTGCAAATCTTTCTCTACATACCCAAGCTGCTCTCAGGCTGCTGTAACTTTTGTTTTTTTGGGGGGGGAGGGACAAAAACTCCAATCTATTTGTGTGGAGCATCACATGCTGAGAACCGGGCTCAGCGTCCCATTGAAATGCTAACAGGCTGAAGAGCCTGCAGGTCTTTCTCTACAGACCCAAGCAGCTCTCAGGCTGCTGTAACTTTTTTTTTTTTTTTTTTTGAGGGGGGGGCGAGCAAAAGCTCCAATCTATTCGTGTGGAGAATCACGTGCTGAGAATCGGGCTCAGTGTCCGATTGAAATGCATTGGAATATGAACCACATTTGAAATTTCGGGGCCATTACCTGACTTTGGCTAAGCAGTCATGCAATTCTCAAGAAAGTTACCTATGATTTATCCAATCGGAAGCTCGAGCTTGAAACAGTCTTACAACTTCAACACATAGAAACCATCCACACACACAAGATCAATTATGCCCGCAGTGTCCGAATGCTCAAAAGTTCGGTAACTCGAGTCCTCCCCGCTTTGGATGTGAATAATCACGTTGTGGATCTCACTAATTGCACAAGCTATGTACTCCTCATCGCAGGTCGTACCGGATGCAAGATCAACGAAGTATGCATTGTCAGTGGTGTCAGCAAGGATTTCCATTGTCTTCATGTAACTCACAGTGTTGGAGCGGAACTCTGCACAAGTAACGGATGATGCTCTACCCAACACAGCCCGACGAAGGCATTGCCAGTAATTATTAGGCTGACCGTCAAACATATCCTCTGGAATAAAGTACTATGGGGCAGTGAGCGAATTCATGTTCACAGGCACTGGTGCCTCAGCAAAGTCATCAGCATATTGATCATTTCAGTCGTCAATGTTGACCACATCGTTATACACTGCTCTCAGCGGCGGGTGCAACTTCTCCACATCAAAATCTTCTTTGCACACCAAACCACACATTGCGAATGCTTGTGCGATATCCTCCTTTGTCTTTGTTTTTGCCCACAGGCAGACCCAATTTGCAACCATCTGGTACGTCGGGGACTTCGGATTGCCCATCTTTGTCTGCAAGGACGGGTCCTCCAAAGCCTTGGAGATGTATGCATCATACTGGCATCCATAAGATTGCTGGAAAGACCGATTCACAGCAACATCAAGAGGCTGGAAAATACCCGTTAGGTTGGGAGGGACAATACAGACGTGAATATTCATCTTCTTCAACCTTTCACTCTCAACCGCCTTCACATGAGGTCCATAACTATCAATGATCAGCAGAACAGGTTGGCGGCCAAATGCCGTCTCTTTCCTTGATGCAATTGTGTCGTTGATGAATGAGATGATTGTGTCTGTACTCCACATCCCCGTCATGTTAACATCAACAGCCACCGACCCTTCCACTCCTGGCTTGTTCTCCAATTTCGCGAAAAGAAGGTGAGGCTTCATCATTTCACCAACCATGGAGATGGTGAAAGTGACCGTGAAGCGTTTGTGTGAGTTGTTTGCTTTGCGCATCAGCACCTCACGTGTCCCTCGCTTTGCGATTGTGGATGACGGCTCTGTCTCAAAGTATCGTGGGACCTGATCCATATTAAAAATGTTAAGCGGGGAAATCCCATGCTTGTCAATAACATTATGAATTTCGTCAATGAAAGCTCTGCATGTGTCTGCAGCATTGGAAGGTAAGGTCCTTGAGGTTGTGTGTCGTCGCGATACAAACCCCTTTCGGCGCTTAAAGCGCGCCATCCAGCCCGTTGACCCATCGAAGACCGCATCCTCCTCCACCTCGCCCCTCTCCTTCTGCAGCTTAAAAATCAATCGAGCTTTTGCCTGTATGTATTGATCCCTGACTCTAAGACCCCTTGTGTTCTTCTGCAAAACCCACTGCTCGAGTTGCTCCTCCAGTTCCTCATGTTGAGGCTTCCGCCCTCCACCTCCAAGCCGCCGCTGCGTTCTACTGTTCGTCATCGTATTTTTCAAAGCCTGCTCCAACTTGTCTTTTTGCATTACCCACTGGCACAATGTCGATTTGTCAACCCTATATCTCCTCCCAACAATGTCGAACCCGTTCCCTTTAACACCCGGCACGTACTCGTTGATAATATCCAACTTTGCCTTGATAGACCAGGACTTCCGTTTCTGACCGTCACCCAGTGGACGAGGTGCCATCTCTCTCTCTCTCTCTCTCTCTCTCTCTCTCTCTCTCTCTCTCTCTCTCTCTCTCTCTGCCTTTACCTTAGCGTGATAGGTGCTTACTGGGGATTGATGACTGAGTGACCCTGTCTCCCTGACGAGATTGATGACTGAGCAGTGAGCAGCCCTGTTCCCCAGACGAGATTGATGACTGGGCAGCCCTGTTGCCTGCTGCTCTGTGTGAGTTCTCAGTAGCACAAACCCTTTTTAAAAAGAAAAAAGAAAAAAACAGGGTAGACCTGTTGCCTGCTTTTCTGGTCTTGTACAACCAAATGCACGTATTTAACTGAAGACAAAATAAAATGGATTTAAAAAAAAATAAAAATCGTCCACAAAATTAAATAAAAAGAGCATCCCTGTTGCCTGCTGTTCTGGTCTTGTACAGTGACATGCACGTAGCAGCCACATGCACGTATCTGACTGCAATAGCAGCCGAAGAAAAAAAAAAAAAAAAAAGGAATTAAAAAAAAAAAAACTCGTTGAAAAAAAATAAATGAAAAGAGCAGCCATATGTTGCCTGCTGTTTTAGTCAGGTACAGGGATATACGTGTATCAGTCACGTGCAGTATCTGGGCACAATAGCAGCCCAAGAACAGGGTGTAGAAATGGGGAAAAATAAAAATAAAAATTGTCAGGGGGCTGAACTTACGATGGCAACGGGAAGTCTTCTCTCTCTCTCTCTCTCTCTCTCTCTCTCTCTCTCTCTCTCTCTCTCTCTCTCTCTCTCTCTCCCTCCCTCCCTCCCTCCGATGCACGTAGCAGCCACATGCATGTATCTGACTACAATAGTAGCCCAAGAAGACAAAAAAAGAAGGAATAAAAGAAAAAAGGAAAATCGTCAAAAAAAATAAATGAAAAGAGCAGCCCTGTTGCCTGCTGTTCTGGTCAGGTACAGGGATATACGTGTATCAGTCACATGCACGTATCTGGCCACAATAG